ATTGCTGCTGTAGGCTATTGTTCTATAGTTATTTTGTTCACTCACAATTGATTTCATGAGAAATTTGCCTATCGTGTAGATTGATTCTCAGCCCCTTCTTGCTTCTATAGTTTAGGTCCGATGTATGACCTATATTTTTTTGCGTTTGAACAAGCCTACTTTATTATTTTAGTTTTTCTATATGCAATATGGAGCCATTCTTTTCGTATCACAAGTTTTCCTTTTTTTATATACATCCGCTATTAATAGTGTTGTTTGTATTCCTGAGAGAAAATCTGTGTAGAGCAATAAATTTCTTATCAAAAGGGCTTGACCATATTTGGCCTTTGAGTTTCGTTCCATTTTTTGGTTACCATACGATTATTTCCTTTAACCATTATTTGTGCCTTCAAATAGATTGAGCAGACCATTTTCGAGGCCAAGGTCGACAAACTGAAAAGTCTTAAGCTGGCTCACAAGCTCTCCAACGATTACTGTGAGCTTTTGGCGGATGTGAACAACGTTCGGTCAAATCTGGGACTCCTAAGTCTTGAAGACGGACGCTGTCCAGAGGCACTGGCTTTGGTTCAACCTTTGACCGCTACCCCATTGCAGCTTTCCGCTTCTGGTGGCCCAGGTTGTCCGCCTATTTCAGAGTGTCTTGAGTCTTTACCGGTCTCCTCTGCTATCAACCAGGACCATGTTGCAGTTTGGCTCTCTACATTCCGTCGTGACGACCTCAGCTGGGCCAAGCAGTTTGCCACGGAGATTGGCGATTTGAACAGCATACCTCTAAGTAACCTAAGTGAAAGTAATTTACGACTTCCAGTAGTTATCCCTTCAAGATAGACTATCATCGACATTTCCGTGGCCTTTTAGATTTATTTAAGCAGAATTGGAGACATGGTGCTGATAACAAACAGGTAGCCTCAGTGAGCCTTTTTGACTCACCTATACCATAGTTCTGGTGATTTTTGAATCATTGTTGAAAACCTATTTTTAGACACGCTTTTTCTTTTGGAGTTATTCATTTGTGATTAAAGCTTTTTACCGGCCTTGCATTTCCATATCTTTAGAAGGTGTGCATGTGGTTCATGGATGCCGATACAAGCGTTGTTTTTCCTTCTTATCGCTTAGGCTCTTTGCTTTAGTGGCTTTGACGAATACGACACATCCAATTCACTGCATGGATCCTTTGAATTTCACAAAACGCCTTTTGTTCACATGGTAGCGTCACTGATGGGTGATATATGGGGTGGGCTCACATTTTCACATGCTACATTAACACATTTTGAATCGCAGCTCCTCATTCATGGAATCTCTAATTTCCTTCTTTTTCTATATGAGCAGATTGTAGCTTCATGTTTCCTTAGGTATTTAAATGCATTAATGCAATGCCTTTAGCACCATTTCTGAAATCATGGAAGCTTTTACCTCTGAAGACTTGCCAGCTTACCTAGTGGTCTCAGATGTGTACTTGAAGCCTACATTAGAACCATTGCTTGTTCTACCTTGCCCTCTTGAAGGCGGATGATGTAATTCTTTGGGCTATTCTGCATCTGTTGAATGTGATAGACTTCTAAAGCAGTTTTTTTTATTTTTGTCACTTTCAATTATGCGTCCATCATGCCAACTTTCTTACGTTATGTAAGTAGAGTTTGCAGTGGCGAACATTTTATTCCGTAAAATCGTCTGTAGCGAACTTAAAATGATGGTTATTCAACTACAATCACCAGGAATGTCAGTGAGTCGTAACATTAGTGTGTATAAAGGGACGATAAACTATCTAAATTTGAATTTGATTTCCGACATTGAATGTCGCTGAAGTGTGTCAAGTAGTTGTCTGCATGCGGACGAGAGCTCTTTGCATTTCGTTGTTCGCTAAGTTGGTGTGGGGTTTGTAAAAGATGTGCTTACAATTCATAGTCTGAAGACGTGCAATAGTGTGTAGTAGTGGTACTAAGGTTCTCGTCATTGTCGACCCTAAGCTTTTTTCTGGGGTCTTAAGGGACCGTAATCGAAATCCATCGCGAACACCAAATTGTTATTGCTATGTCTTATGAAATTCAATGCGTTGTTCTTCATACAAAATCAAAGCCTTAGTCTTTATAGTAAGTCGTTTTTATGAGAAAATAGGCATTGCCATGTAATGACATCCATGACTTTGGAACACACCACTGGGGGCTTAAACAATTGGGTGAAAAGATTGGTTTAGATGTGTCGTCCTCCTACATCGTTTTGACTTCGAGTATAGTGATGAGCATCATTGTCGAAAATCACAACATAAGGACATGTAAATTTGCAGATGATTCCAAAAGGGTGTTTTGAAATACGTAGAGACGTGAGAATGTCTTGGTAACTCCATACATTGGGTTTTATCTGCAAGTTGA